CTCAAATAAATAAATAAAATCTTTAAATAAAAAAAAAAAAAAAAAGATGAAACTTTCATGGATTTGCATTATAAAATAAAAAAATAAGGCTCTCCAACAATATTTGAAGATTAAAAAGATGTTTAAGATATCTACTAAATTGAATAACACCGGTTTTGATCAATATATAGCCTTCACAATTCTTAGGGGTTTTTAAAATTTTGAAATAAAGAAAAGTACACAACCTGTTTACAAAAGGAATTGCTGATGAACATTTCTAAAGGCATTGATAATTAACTTTGATTATACCACACACCCTTGGCTCAGAATCCACTAAGCATCATTTTTTTCCACATTCTTCTGATTTCTTTTGACTTCATATTCCTTTAATTATTTTGCTCATGTCGTCATTGCTATTTGAAATTACAGTGCCAAGATCTTGGTAGCACCAGGCTAAGACAAAGACTTAAGTTTAGCCAGTACTTATTTTGATGCTTTGGCTTAGTGGGAAAGTGGAGGAGGGGATGATAGATCTCAGGATCTTTGTATTTATTATTCTTTCTGCTTGTTGACTCTTCCCTAGATATCTGCAGGGCTAGCTCCCTCACCTCCTTCAAGTCTCTAGTCCAATGAGTGAGGCTTTCTTTGACCACTTCATTTAAAATAGCATTCTTTCCCCTGGGCTCCATTCCCACCACTCCCTATCCCCCTTTATTGTTTTATTTTTCTTCACTTTTTACTTTCCAACATGTTGCATACTTCACTCTTTTGTTAATTATCTGTGTCTTCTCATTAGAATGTGTATGGTTTGGATATTTGTCTATGTCAGATGCTTACTAAGCATTGAATAGTGCCTGACACATGGTAGACATTCTGTAAATATTTTGAGTAAATTAGTGTATATGTTGAAAATGACATATGTGGATGATGGACCAACAGCTCATAGGCAGGGGAAAGTTTGATTCTATTGTAAAAATATATTCGTGCTATTTTTAAAATATTACTAAATTCAAGGAAGTAGAATTTTACTGAAAAATTTTATAAGAATGAAAAGGGATTTATTAATTCTAAAGATTAGAGAGTGTAATTTTATTTACCTCACTATTGTCAAGCTTAGTTGTGTGCTTGATTCTTGAATTCATTCTGTGACTTTAAAGATCTGAGATGCTTTTTTCTTAACTTGGGCGGGCCTCAGATTTAAATAGAAAGTTGATAAATTTCTGTGTATGGGACTTAGCATATTTATAATTCTGTAAAACAGTAAATTTTGTAATTACTGTTTTGTTAAAATGCAATGTTCATTTTTTATTTATTGTGCACCTATTATGTATAACACAACGTAGCAGTTCCTATTAAGTTGACAGTGATGAAGAAGGCTTGGTACCAGCCTTCAAGGAATGTACAATTTATGATAAGGTGTGAATATAAGTAACTACAGTAATACAGGAAGGTTCGTAATAAGTGCTGTGAGAGTTACTGATTTCAAAGGGAGGAGAGACTTCCACTTAGAAGAAACACAAGGGCATTCTAGTTGGAAGAAATAGTATAAATAAAAGTACAGAAAGGAAAGAGCAGAAGGCATACACAATGAATGACTAGTAGTGCAATTTAGATGAAGCATGAAGTTTATATAACATAGTATTAAGATCAGAGTCTGGGGGAATAGTTTTGAGCTCAGATCTAGATTATGAAATCCTTGAAAACTAGGCTAGGGAGTTTGGACCCATTGGGGAAACTGTTGGTGTTTTGTGTAGAATTAAGGAAGGTCAAAGTGGAGGGTATATGAGGTAAGATGTAGCTGCATGGGACACAGACTGTTGAAGATTGTTACGGTAGTTAAGTCTGATTTAATAAGAATCTGGGTTAAGGTGGTGAAATGGTATCACACTGTTTAAGAACATGGACTCTGGAATCAAAGGGCTCATTTTCTTTTTTTAATTTTTTTTTTAAGATTTTATTTATTTATTTGACAGAGAGAAACAGCGAGTGAGGGAACACAAGCAGGGGGAGTGAGAGAGGGAGAAGCGGGCTTCCCGCCGAGCAGGGAGCCCGATGCGGGGCTCGATCCCAGGACCCCGGGATCATGACCTGAGCCGAAGGCAGACGCTTAACGACTGAGCCACCCAGGCGCCCCAAAGGGCTCATTTTCAATCTAATTTTGGCCTTGGTAGGTTATTAAACCTGACCTTGTCCTTTATAAAAAAGTAAAAATTTTAGCACCTACCTCTTTGGTTTGTTATAGGATTTAGATGAGATAATATGTCTAAAACCCTCAGCCTGGCACAAAGTTAAGTGTTCAATAAATGGTTAATATTATAAAATATTTGAAATATTGACTGTTCTGAGAACAAAGAGAGTCAAATAATTTTGAGCCTTTGTGTTGGGAGCATGACATCACAAGAAAGATTATTAGTTAGGAGGAATGGTTTTCAGGGGTGGGGACGAAAGTACAATTTCCGTTTATGAAGATCATTTTTGATGTGCCGGCATGACAGCCAGGTATAAATATACCGCGGGCTGTTAAGACTAGAGCTGCAATAGGAGCACCTGGGTGGCTCAGTCAGTTAAGCGTCCGACTCTTGGTTTCAGCTTAGGTCATGATTTCATGGGTCATGGGTTCAAGCCCCACTCTGGCAGGTAGGCCCTGCACTCAGTGGGGGAGTCGATTTGAAAGATTCTCTCCCGGGCGCCTGGGTGGCTCAGATGGTTAAGCGTCTGCCTTCGGCTCAGGTCATGATCTCAGGGTCCTGGGATCGAGTCCCGCATCGGGCTTCCTGCTCCTTGGGAGCCTGCTTCTCCCTCTCTCTCTCTATCTCTCTGTCTCTCATGAATAAATAAATAAAATCTTTAAAAAAAAAAAAAGAAGAAGAAAAAAAAAGAAAGATTCTCTCCCTGTACCCGTCCCCCTACTCTCTCTCAAAATAAGTAAATCTAAAAAAAAAAAAAACTAAAGCCACAGGGGAGAAGTCAGTCTAAAGTATGCTACTGGTTTTTATTCCTATACAAGTACTTAAATTTAAAGTATTCAATGAACTGTAAAAGTATGTTTATGCTCGTTAACTGACAGATAATAATAATTAAATTACATGATTTATTTTTAAAACTTTCCCATTTCTTTTCTAATTTTATCACCACTAAAATAAGATATTAGATTATAGGCTCCACAGAGTTTACCCTCTTTTTTGTTCACTCTTGAATCCACAACACCTAGTAGTATGGAGTGTGTAAAGAAGGTCCTCAGAAAATGTATATTGAGGGGCGCCTGGGTGGCTCAGTTGGTTAAGCGTCTGCCTTCGGCTCAGGTCATGATCCCAGGGTCCTGGGATCGAGTCCCGCCTCAGGCTCCCTGATCAACGGGGAACCTGCTTTTCTCTCTCCCTCTGCTGCTCCCCCTGCTTGTTCTCTCCCTCGCTCTCACTGTCTCTCTGTCAAATATAAATAAATAAAATCTTTAAAAAAAAGCAAATGTATATTGAATGAGTATTATATCCTTGTGTTCCAGATGGGTGAAGGTACAGAAAGGATGTTAGTGGAGCCACCACTAGGTTTTAGGTCTCTTAACTCCTGTCTTTTAGCAACCAATATGAGAGGGGACAGTTTACAAAGCACTGAATGTTAGCATGACTTAAACATGGCTCTATCATTTTCTAGAGTACCGTTTTAGATAAATCAGGCTTGTATAACAAAATTGGAAATTGATGGTCATGACACATAAAAAGCACATCAAGAGTTGTTACATGGAAAAATAATTATTGAACTTCTATATGGACTTTCATAAAAGATTAAAAAGATTAAAAACCTTTGCTTTCTTTTTTTCTTCATAGGGGCATTACTCTCGTGTGCCTTAAATGTGACTTCCTAACTGATTCTTCTGGTTTAGACCGTATGGCTAAACACTTGTGTCAACGTAAAACTCATACTTGCCAAGTTATAATAGAGAATGGTATGTATGTATAATTGTGTTACTTTGAATTTCTGATATTGATTCCAGCATTTTTGATCAGCCACAATATGGGCTCTTTTGCATTAAGTTAATAGTCTCGCTCATTATCTATACTATTTTAAACGTAAAACTCTTCTAATTTCAGTTCCCGAAAGTACCTCAACTTTTGAACCCAATTCTGAACCCACTTCTGAACCCACTTCTGAACCCAATTCTGAACCCACTTCTGAACCCAATTCTGAACCCACTTCTGAACCCAGTTCTGAACCCACTTCTGAGTAAGTTTTATTTTCATTGAGTGCATTTTTCTTTGATGGATTTTAGCACTGTTGCATTTTTAAATGTATCATTAATAGAAATGAAAAATATTAAAGTATTTTGTTTTTGTTTTTGTTTTTAAAGCCGCTTGTTGAAATAGATTCCTGCTCTATGGAGCTCGTGCAACCTGGTGCAAGACAAGTTGGAATTTCCTAAGTTCAAAGTTCTGAAGTGTTTTCTTACACAAAGGCAGTTTCCTAAGTTCAAACTTCTGAAGTGTTTTCTCACACGAAGGCGGTTAAACAGCCAAGTTCATGACACTAGCTCTGATTCAGCTCTTTTCAGCTTTCAGATGGCACTAGATTCTTATTCCACCTTATCTTTGTGTCAGGTTAACATATCTTAACATATGCTTTTTTCTCCAGTTGACTCTCCAAAAATAACTTTTGTTGCTATGGTCTTTTTTTTGCTTTGCTTAAAATAATTTGTGTTTTTCTCTGCTGTACTTGCCTTCAGAATATTGCATTCCAAATGATATGGCTATTCATTTTCTTTGTTTGTTTTGTCTGGTTTCTTAGTTAATTTCTTATAAGTCTTACATTTTTAGGTCAGATAGCTGTCTTTTTCCTCTTTCCTTGTCTGTCATTGTTCTATTTTTCATATTTTTCAGATGCAGAAGCAACACAGAAATTTCAAAAAATGTCCAGGATACTCCTGGTCAGTGTCCCCCTTCGATGGACACAACTGATGCCTGTTCTCTCTTTCCAAGGAATGTGAATTATTTGACTGTGAGACCTCCTCTAGATTGTGGCCTTAAGAAATCAGACCTTGGGGAGAGTCCCTTCCTTCATGACTGGCCTCCCATAAGGCTGATGCTAATTTGGCCAGAGATGACCTCAAGGCCCACCAAATTGAGCACAACTTCCCACTGGGGGCTTTGGTTTTTGATCTTATGCTTATTGGGTTCATTCTAACCAAGAAAGACCCATCAAATCCGTGCTTCAACATCCAAGTTGAAGTTTAATCATTTTGGCTGCTGCCCTTTAATCTTTGTCTAGTTTGCATGCAGTCCAAGGAATATAAAAACTGGTTGTGTAGGGAACCAAGGTTACTTTCATGTTCTTGGAAAACAAGTCTCTAAAATTACAGTTCCAAAGTTATAGTTATTTGTACTGTCATTTGAAGTTTTATCCAGTATTAACCCTAGGAGTCTTCAGCAATACTAATATTCAAATTTTTTTAAGTTTAATTTTATCTTGGTTTTATGTTGTCCTTCACCAAATTTATTAATGTGTGTTTTGTTATGTCCACTTTTATCTCTTCTCTTTAAAACTTTTGTTTTGTGTTTGTTTTGTTTTGTTAAGAACCTCAAGAAATTCTTTAGAATTCTCTACAAATTTCATGTAGCTACCTATTGATGGCTTCTAGATTTGGTAATTATTCAGATAATTAGACATTATTACATCCTCTGCCTATCTTGGGACTATCATTATCTTAGTGATTATCAATTCAAAGACATAAATAATTGGCAAAAAACACTTCCTACAGACCTTAAAATAAATTTTAAAGCTATGTTTCTGTACATCTAATACATAATATCTTCTTAGCCATTAATGTAATTCCTTTGGATAAAGATAATATATTCAGAAAATATTGGGACCAAAAAATGCACTTGTTTCTTGCCCATATATATATAGATGTATATTTTTTTTATTTTGGTGTTTGTTTATTTTGGTTACATTGAATATAGATTTGCTGAACAGTTTGATGTTATTACTTATTTTTTTAATAAAATTTGTATTGGTAAAGTGCCTCAGGAGTTATTCATGTAAAAGCTGTAGATTTTATCATGTAAGTAGGAGCATTGCTTTGCTTCTTACATGGAAGCTTGATTACTTGGCCTACAGACTGAGAGCTTTACTGAGTGCATCTTACAGTCTTTCCTCCAGCACAGTTAAAAGCTCACTATGTATATTTTACTAATTTCTTGAACTTCAGAGACTGGCAAAGTCCCTTTGTGACCTTTAAAACCATTAAGGTGGTCAGGCTCTGAAGTTGTTTGACTCAGTCATGAGTGGTTTTTTCATCTTAACATCAGAACTTCTTGTGCTTTGTACTCGTAATTGTACTTTGAAACGGTCTTAGTCCCTTTGGGCTGCTATAGTAGAGTATCACAGACTAGGTATATTATGAACAACAGAAATGTATTTCTCACAGTTCTGGAGGCTGGAAAGTCCATGATCAAGGCACTGGCAGATTCAGTGTCTGGTGAGGACCCACTTCTGGTTCGTAGAAGGATATAATTCATAGTCAAAAAGTTGAATCCATTAGTTTTAATTTTCCAGACTGATTCTGCCGTAAATGATTTTTCCAAAATCTCCAAAAGTGTTGTTTCTTAGTAGTGTTTCTACTCCTACTTGTTTCTTTCTTCTTTTTTTTTTTAAAGATTTTATTTATTTATTTGACAGAGAGAAACAGCGAG